CAAGTTATAAAATAGAAACTAAATATTGGAATGGAAAAAATATGAAAAACTGTAATATTTTAATAGATACAGATGTTAATGAAAATTATATATCTCATAGATTGGTTGAGAACTTATCTATTTATCCATTACAAGATCCTTATCAATATATAAATTTTAATGGAGAAACCCATGAAATAAAGGAGACTATAGAAATAGAAATTGAATTAGCTGATAATCGAATTCCTATTCGACTTCTAGTTGAAAATAAAGGATTCAACGATACTCTTGAAATAATATTAGGAACAAACATTTTATATTCAGTATCCCCCTATAATATAACTACTAGTGGAATAGTTATTACCCATATTTACTGAAAGAAAATGATGAGTCAATATAGTAGTTATATATCTATTGGAATAACCTATAATGATTATAAAACTGAATACTTGGCAGCATAAATTGATAGTGGATCAGAAACATGTTTATATAAACCTACATCTTTTCTACCACAATATCATGAAATCTTACCTGATCGAACAGGTATTGATATTTCTAATAACACTATTACTTTAAATTATGGAATAACTAAGTCACAAATATTACTTGGTTCATTCGTTGTTAAATATCCTCCATTTTATTTTTTTGATACACGACTAGATATACTCTTAGGAAATAATTTTCTCCAACTATTTCATAAAGTTTTATTCGATACTTTACAATTTCAAATACATTTTAAAACTCCTTGTGGCCACTAAATCGTCGTTTCCTGCCTTAAACATGCTTATGCCCGTAAATTTCTTATAACTTTTCATCCTTGCACAAGTTAGCGTAGTGACATTGGACATTCAGAAAAATCAAAAATACCTAAAGGAAGCCCTATGTAAAAATTTGAAAAACAATTACATTTAAAACAACAACAATTAAAAACCATATCTACTACCTTAGAAGATATAAAAGAAAAGTTATGATTAAATTATACAGAAAATCCTCTAAAATTTTGGGACAAAAACCAAGATTATACTGAAATAAAATTCAAAGATGAAATAAAATAATTAGGATAAAGCCTATGTGGTATAATCCAATTGATCAAGATGAATTCAAAAAATAAATTAAAAAATTCTTAGAAATACCTTTAATAAGAGAAAGTAATTCTCCCCTCTTTACCTGCTTTTATGGTAAGAAACCATGCTAAAATAATAAGAAATAAACCTAGAATAGTTGTTAACCATAAACAGTTAAATAATGAAACCATATTCGATGGATTTTTTTACCACATAAAGAAACTCTCATAAACATGAGTAAAAGAAAGAAAATATATTCTTAATTCGATTGCAAGAGTGGGTTTTGACAAATAAAAATGCATCTTGATAGTGTTAAATACTAAATACACAGCATTTAGTACTCCTCAAGAACAATATGAATGATTAGTTATGCTGCTTGGATTAAAAAATGCCCCCCAAATATATCAACAAAAAATGGATAAATCTTTAAGGATTAGCCTTTCTTATATGTGTATGTTGGTGATATCTTAATAGCATCAGATTCAATAGAGAAGCATTTAGAGCATTTAAATATATTTTCTGATCTATATCTAAAACATCAAATTGGATTATCAGATAAGAGAGCAAAAATAAGATTAAAAGAAATTGATTTTTAAGATTTAGAAAAAATGGTGAAGGAATAAAAATACAATCACATATTTTGGAAAAAATACAAGCATTTTCTGATAAACTAGAAGATAAAAAATAATTACAAATATTTTTGAAAACATTAAATTATGCATCAAATTTTATCTCCAATTTAGCGAAAAAAAAAGAACTACAAAAATTATTGAAGAAAAATAATAAATTTGAATTCTCTGAAAATCATATAACTCTAGTAAAGAAAATAAAAGACCAATGTAAAAATTTATCATTTTTAACCCTACCATCTAATGAAGATAATCTTATATTAGAAATTGATACTTTCGAGAAAGTATAGAGTGCAGTTTTAAGAACAGAATAATCTATTATGTAAATATGTATTAGGAATGTTTTTCAAGTAAGAGCATTTATTAAAAATAATATTAAACCTCTACCTCAAAATAAAAGATTAATTAGATGGCAAATGGCATTGTTTAAGTTCATGATTGAAATTGAGCTAATAAAATCTGATGAAAATTGTCTTGCAGATTTTCTCACTAAAGATGGAAGGTCTAATGAATAAGCAAACAATCCTCTTGGATAAAATTTTGGAGTTATCTGAGCAAATTTCTCAATTGCAAACGTCATTCAATGATATAATGAATATTGTGAATTATCATGAAATGAATAAAGAAATTTCTGAACTTTTTAGCAAACATGCCAATAAGACCAAAATACAGTTAGCCTTTACAACAAGGTTGAAACATTACTATATGACCTATTCAAAAAGGGTAAAATGGAAAATCTTCCCCCTTCAATGGGATAAGAAGATTGTCAACATATTGAGAGATCTAAAATAAATTCTCTCAATGATAGAATATCCTTGAGATCGGATTTTAGCCGGAACCAGACATCTCAAAGGATACTTATACTCAATAATGTAATTAATCAGCATCCGCTCATTTCTAAATACAATTCTCTTATGAGAGAATTATATGGTTTACAAAATATGAAAATATATTACATGAATTTCACAGAAATTTATTTTTGGATGAATTGTGTGCAGGGATGTGATAGCAATTTTATTCAAAAGTGGTATAATATTGGAGTAATCAACGCTATATACTTAACTATTCCTAATTTTTCTGAAATTTTCAAACTCTCTCGGTGGATTCAAGAAGGAGTGAAGCATATTTATCAAAATAATTCTACATATGGTCTCAAGGATATTTTAATGCTCAAGATTATTTCAACTGGAACAGATTTTGAAGATTCAAATAGATATGATACCTTTCATTATATCAAAGTTATGAAATATGATGAGTTGGACATAAAAATTTACTCTCAACGGAAGGAATATGAATACTTTTATGAGGATAAGATGCATTATCGAAGAACTCTTGGAATAAGAATTGTTTTGTAAAATCCTGAAAATACACCCAAACAAAGTTTTCGTACATGCGGAGGAAATGAAGCATTTTCTTCAATTATAACTACATATGCAGGAAAAACCTCAGCGGCAGTAATGAATTATCTAAATTGGAAAATACACTTACTTGAAAGCAGTCGAATAAAGTCCAGCAACAAAGTGATCAAAACTTTATGCAGAATGAGGAAACACAAAAATAACACATGTTCGGCTTGTATCAAGGAGAAAAAAAGAAGATAAGCACACCGCATCAAGCAGTCAAAATATGGAATAAGAAGTAAGCACTTACGTCATTTCCAAAATCCAAAATATTTTGTTCAAGTCCGCGGGATTGAAGTAAGTTGAAGTTCGTGGAAAGAATCAATTCAAATCCAGCATTAAAGTCCACCAACCTTTATAAATAGATGGATGGCTTGTAGAAAAGGGCATTCATTGAGCCCACGAAGAAGCAACTTTACCTTATAAAATTTTCTCTCATGTTCATGTTTAGTTAATAGAGAGAGAGTAATGTGTCAAACCTATCTTGTACTACAATTTCTTCATTAATAAAATAAGTTTTCTTCATAACTTTTTATCTTTTGCATTTGAGTACTCTTAGAGGTAGAAAACATAAATCTACATATTTTTCACCACAATATCATGAAATTTTAACAGGTATTGAAATTTCTAATAATCCTATTACTTTAAATTCTGAAATAACTAAACCACCTCAAGGTCTCAAAGTCCCAAACCAAGGTCCTTTTGGCAGGCCTTTTGAGTCTGCGGCTATAACCACAAAGGTCAAACCAAAGCTGCGATTGATGTGGCTCAATTCTTAGGGATAATTTCAGAAACCTCCCTTAAGATTTCTAGTAATTTCAGACAGCTCCTCTCACATTTTGAAAATTACACATATCTCTCCTAGAACATAAGTTTAGGTTTCACCTTGATGATGTAAGACCAAAAAATTATATAAATGCCCAAAATTGCCCTCATCTAAATTTCCTTAATATGAATAATCATTAAAAATTTTTAAAAGTCAAGAATGCACTTGTATAATACCAAAATTATGAGTTTTATTGTTTAGCTAATGTCTTGATATTTTCCATCCCCATGATTTCTATATCCACCCAAACTTTCAAACTCTTATCACTTCTTCTTCTGAACAAATTCTTTGTCTTAGATGCCAAAATCCACTGTCGTAATTCTTAATTTACAATCTTTATCTCGCTAAAGGTTTTTTTTTTTTTTTCATATATTGCTTACCAAACCGTTGGTTATACAACTCACAATCCTTACCTTTTTCCCACTCAAATGGCCAAGTCCTCAGTTACAAAATTCTTTTAACCTCTTCTCTCAACATTTGGATTGGTCATCCTAAATAAACCCACATTTTTTTTTCTCTAAATTGACACAATTTTATTGAGAGCAAGTTTGATGTCTATTAAGAGGAATCAGACAAAATATCAAAAAAGTGCAAGTTTGGGGTAGTAGTTTTAGTACAATCTATCAAATTATACTTTCCCGTAATCCAATAGCTTTTTTATGTTCAATGATATGAACAATTGTGTTGTTGGTAGAGATAATTGCTTCCATCATCACCAACAACAATGACATATTTGAGTGATAGAAAGAAGGAAACATCTTTCTTGATTAGCATATTTGAGAAATAAAAGGTTACAATTTAATGGTCATAGTAGAAATAATTTGGTTATAATATATGGTCTGGTCAAGAAAAATTGTTTTCCTTTTTTCCTTTTCCTTGTCCTTTTCCTTTTTCCTGTTATCTTTTCCTTTTTTTTTATTAATGGCTTATCTTTTGAAAAATTATGAAGGTTATTATACATTGTTTATCGTCAAGGGAGGCAAGTGTAATATTGAAAACCTCAAGGGAGCTCAGTGAAATTGTCAGAAACCTCAGTGGAGGTTTCTGAAATTATCCCCAATTCTAATTTTAAACTTTGGTGTTTGAGCGGCCCAAATTGAATCACATAACCCCGAGTCCCCGATCCTTCCCGCCCAGCAGCTTTTGCTAATTCCCCCGGTCCTTTCATCTGCCCGAGGATAAATACAACTGCTTCTGATTACTGCTTAATCAAGAACATCAACTAATCAACAGTTCTATGTTACTACTATGCAAGAACAAATGACATTCTGGGGTTTGATTCTTTATCCCTTTTCGTTATTCTATTTGTTCATTAGCAAAAATTTATGGACCCAATGAGAATGCAAGTTTGGTGTTTGTTTTGTTGCAGGCGCTTATGTGACTTTGAATGAGCCTTACATCCTGAACTCAGATGGCAAACGGCTTCGAATTACACAGGTTCTTGATATCTATGTACTAATTCATTTTCTTGGACAGACATACTGGTATAGTTACGGTGTTTGTGTAAAGGTTTTTCACATAGTTTTCTTGACTGATGATAGCTCATCTTGATTTATTTATGCTGTTGAAAGATACAAGCATCTTTATATGTACTTTTAGTGTCCTTTCAATTTGTGACTGCGGGATTGACTATTTTCATTCCTTATAGTACTATCCAAATTTCCCTTGTACCATAGTTCGATGCTTGGCATGTGCTGATTCAACACTCGAAAATATCCCTTATTTTTATTACTGTCATTTTGCTGATATGTAAGTTTGATTGGAGCAAAAAGGAGGACAAGAAACCAAATTAGTACTAATCTTATGAGCTATACTTTTAGTACTGTTAATTTTGAGTTAATGAAGCAGAAGTTTTGATGCGATATTGGCCATTGGACAGAATTGTGCTCCACTGAATAGTGATATACTTCATGTACGAATGACCAATCAATGGTTGAAATGTTGCAGGCTACGTTAGAGCCACAGAAGGATGGTTCTTTAACAAGAGCAAGGTCGATTCTTCAATGTACAGTGGGGAGTAAACCTCCTGTTTCCATATGTTCATTATCAAAGGAGTTTACCTTCACTCAGTTAGATCTTGAGCTTGAGGAGTCTGAGCAAGTCATCTTCGCAGTCAAAGGTCCTCAAATAATTCATCTTTCTGGTTATTATGTTCCTTCACAAGCTGTTTCTAAGAGGGAAGCCAGTACTAGCACCGATGATCTCATAATGTATCCTTAGGCAAACCTATACTGTTTTTCCTTATTTTCTTTTAAAGAAATTAACAGTATGCAATTTGATGGATTTCAATTATCATTGTTGTTGTGCTAGCTAATTGAAACTGCTGCAACACAAGTAGATTCTACTATTTCAGTCTAGGATGGATGTGAGCACCCAAAATCTTGCTTTAGTTATGCTCAAAGTGAAGGTTCTTTTTTGTTAACCTTACTCCGTCCTATTGGATATTTTTGCGTCAAGTCTCCTTTCTATGCTTAATGTTTTTCCCTTGATAGGCTCTTCAACAATCTTCCTGGAACAATGATTTGTTTCTAATGAGCATTTTCTCCGTGCTTTTAAATGTTAATGGGCATGGACAGGTGATTTAAAAGAGACTAAATGGTGAAAAGGAACATAAGTTTCTGAAGCAAATTATTAATGTCTGAATTTACTGAAAAAATTAGTTGCGATGAAGCTTATATCTGTCATCAACTTGAGTATTCAACCAAGTTTCTGGACTTCCTTAGGCATCTCGGGACAAGTCTTCTACTGTGGGTTTCTTGCAACAAAATACCGTTAGTGATTATTTTATGTCTCTAGAAAAACTTGAACTGTTTTGGATTGTGTGCAGTTGATCTTCCTTTACTTTTTGCAATCAGAGATTGCAATGGTGAAGCAGATAAAGTTATGGCAGAAAATCGTGAAGAGAGAAAGCTGACTGCAGTGGAGAGAGATATTGCTAACACTTTTAGCATGCTTGACTGTCGTCGAGATGACACCCCAGGTAGTGACTATGACCTCAGAGATGCGTTGATGAATGACAAAGATCATTTAGTCAATGCAGACATGCATGAGGATGGTATATATCATGCTAGAGTTATTTGCATCTCATTTTATTTTTGAGGAATGAAAATCATTTTCATCCATTTATGGTCTAATGAGTTCGCTAACATCTGCGGCTTCTACACTTTTGACATGATAGTTTACTAAAATAAAAGTTTTACTCTATATTCAAGAAAAATTTAGTATCTGTGTCTAATATGCAAATTCCTGGATATTGTAAATGACCACATTGGAATTTATGCTATATAGCCTGTACCTGACTCAAGCTCTTTCATGTTTTTGACAAGATGGGTGATCACATCTTCAGATTTCTGAATTTGTTGCAGTCTATAGCTCCTTTTTACATGACCTAGAAAACACGACTAAATAGTTTCAGGTCTTTACTTTCTGCAAATTCCATGCCTTACTCATAGACGTCACATAGAGTTTGCAAGTATTGTAGGTAAGTAGAAAATCCCATTATTTATTTCAACTTCATTTTACTTGCCACATAAGGCTTAAATTTGGAAACAGAATTGAAAACTTTTTGTGTGTTGGTGTGTACCTTGATTCAATCACTTAGCAATTGCAACTTCATTATGATAGCATTCAAATTTGGGCAGAATTTCTGTCATATTAACCAATATTAGAAAATACTAGGGTCCTGATTTCATTTTATGGCATAAAGAATTACCGATCAAAAGAGATGCCTGATTTTTCTTCTTAAATTTATTTCACAAGAATGCTGTACTTTACATTGCAAAAGACTGTTTCAAGCACATGAAGACCTCTTCAGTGATGATTAGCTATTTCTGTCTGTTCATGCTCTAGAATACTGTAACCATGCACAAACCTATTTCCTCTCTGCCCACCAAAGGGCAAATTACTATCGGCAGAATCAAGACTGTTCTGAATGTGAAACTTTTGTGGTCTGTGTCCTGTACTTTGGATGTGAACAACTACTGCTGCATCATCAATTAATAGAATTCATTTGCATGCTATTTTTCCTTCGAGTGACTAAATTTATCTGCCAGCATATCTCCATTTTGAAGGCACTGCAGTGTGTGGTGTAGCATCCACAGATTAACTCCATTTTGTGAAAAGGCCCTTCATTGACGATATTCTTATTAAGTAAATAGCATGGATGCGATGAAAATTGCCCATGTTTAAATTACAACATCAACCAAGGCTTCTAAAGTCAATAGTATATTATATATGCATGAATGGAAAAAGTGCAATAAAGCCTAATTCTGGAAGTGTTCATAATTTAATGTTAGTCGCAAATAGAGTAAAACGTCAAATGGGGCCACAAAGTGCATGACTAGCAGTGGCATTAAATTTTTGTTGAGATGTTTTAATTTATGGAGTTTGATGATTCTTATTGAGTAGCTGATGAGGAGATGGTAAATGAGAAAGTACAACTCCACGCTCCTGAGAGTATACTGGATGGCGAAGATGAGGATTATGTTCCATGTATGAGGAAGAGTGCAGCAACTGCAAAGAAAATGCTAAAGAAAGGTGGAGAGGATGCTGACAAGGTAATAGTTCAGGCAAGTAAATTGTTGAAAGCTGTTGACTGCATAAAAGAGGAAACAGCTGTCAGTAGACCAAGTCAACAAGAAAGGTGATGTAGTTCACAAATAAAGGCTTGTGTTTCCTGCATGACTCTCTACCAAGTTCTCCTTTTCTCCATAAAAATATAGACAACATGCGGTTGCATGAATGTAAGAGAAATTTCCCTTCATTTGTTAAACTTTTACTAAGATGTATTGCTTGTAATGCTTTTGTCAATTTTCTTATCTCAACAAGGAGTAACCAAAAGAAAAAAACGAGTTACTTTACATGCATCCTCTTTACTCCCTTGACTGATTGATTGACTTGGGGTTTAAATCTTTTTGGTCCAACTATGAATGTTGGGAGCCACTTTTCTAGAGCAAATTTTCACATAGTATCATTTTAGTTCATTGCATTGTGTTTTCTAGTGTTTCATAGGTAGGTAAAGAATGCAAAACTAGCTCGGAAAAGACCAGTTGACCATAAAACTGAAGTTGCAACTTTAGTGCTTGCATTGACGAGGCACTATTATGTACCAAACTTAGTCTTGCTCGGAGGATGATTTTGTGTGTCCTGTCCACAGACTGTTTGCACTATATGTAGTATGGGTGCATGATTATGTCTAAATGCACTTCAGGGAGGAAAGCCTGATGAATAACTTGCACCTTGCTTCCAATGAGGTTGGCATGGAGAAATGCATAGAGCCAGAAAAGATATCAGTTGAACCTTTCTGCAAAGAAGATGCTTCTCACAGTAATACTCTTTCGTGTTGGATTGCCAATTTTACTTGTATTTTCAACACTCAGCTGGCAAAGATTGGAGAAGCCCGTGAGCAGGCCCTTGATGGGTAATTAATCTTCCCTGCCATCCCCTGTGTCTAATTCGTGCTCGATTATTACCATTGACTAAGTGATATTACTTGCACCACATTGTTAGTAATAATATTCTTATATTTTTGTTCAGGAGGCTATTTTTTGCATGCCTTTCTCCCCTGATTTTAGTTTTCTAAATCTTTCATTCCACAGAGATGCCTGTCTTAGTCAATTCTTAAATATACTGATGCCTGATTTGCTATCCGTGTTTTGGCTGCACACTTGTAATACAGTAATTTGGTCATCTCTACCAGGAATTGCACGGATGAACATGGGAAAATATGACCTACAAATATTTTTTGATCATTGACAAGAGATATGGTGAAAAAATTCATAATATAGATTCTTTTATCTTTGGTAAATTTGCAGTGACATTGGTGGTTCTCCTCCCTTGCCATCTATGTTTGTGCTGCCTTCTTGTGAACTAGACTTGCAAAAGAGTTTGAGGAAAGAGAAGAAAAGAATAGATGGATCTGGAAATGAAAAGAAAACCACTGGAGGTGACACTGAATACCAGAAGAATGCTATAAAAGAGAATGAAGTGCAGCAAGCTCACAAAGAAAGTGATGATTTGTACCAAGGTTGTGCTGGGAGTCAACATCGTTGGAAATCATTCACATCAATGTATGAATAGTTTGTTTAGTCATTTGCTAGATTTAGTCAACGGAATCTATCGCATGCTTGAATTTTTCTCTTGCCTTTTTTGGCCCCTAACTTAGCTGATTGATACTGTTGAATTTGGCAGTGAAAGCAGTGGTTCTTTTCACTCGCCATCTAAGGCTGGGCTGCCTTGTCAATTTGACAGGCTAAACAATGGGAAGAAAAAAAAGAAAAGAAAAGAAGGATGTGACGAGCTGAAAACTATTGAAGCTATTGTTTACCACCGCAGGAATGCTCTGAAAGAGAATAAAGTAAACCAATCTCACACAGAAAGTGACAACACGTGCCAAGGTCGTGCAGGGAACCGACATGATCAGATATTAGCAAAGAATATGTATGGTAAACTTGTCTCAGGAATGTGCTATATTAGCAGTGGAGCTATTATAGGCATTGTCTTGTCTCTCTTCTTTATAACTGATACATTTTAATATTTGTTGAAGCTAGTGGTGAAATGGGTGAATCAAGTTCTTCGCTGCCTCGAGATGAAGTCCATGATGCAGTTGATCAGAAACCTAAAGAGAGACTGACAAATGGGAATGTCCAAGTTTGGCCTAAGACAAATGATGACGCGAAACGAAGAATTGATAAGTAAGAACGTTTATTGATGTTCTTTCTTTTCCCGTAACTTCTGCTTTGAGATTTTTCTACAAATGCATGAATAGATAACTGCTTTCTAATGACAATTTTTTTTTTCTCCTAATATTTATTCCAGCAGGTTGACCTTCTTTTGTGGGGAAAGTAAGTGTCCTAATGGCTCAATTCCTCTTCCTGCTGAAGATAGATCTAAAAATGGTCAGAAATCAAAAAAGAGAAAGAAACACTGGGCTTTGGACCAAAACTATGTTAACGGAGATGGAGATGCCTTTCAAAAGGAAATCTTTAGTAACATTGTGGCTGACATGGGGAGCATGGTAAATTTTTTGCCTGCAAAATTTGAAGAACTTGTGCTATCAAATGTTAAGTTAGCATCTTCTTTCATGTTTTTCCCATGTGGATATATGCATGCATACGGTAGTGTTATATTATTATCTTTTCATCTTTTTTGAAGTTTGATAGTTGAATTTGGTTGCTCTTGATGTTGGATTGTCTTTAATGTGACAGAGGAATCACGGAGATTTGATACACGAATCTTGTAAATGCAACACCAAAAATCTTTTGACAGAAGCCAAGTTCAAGCAAAACATACAAGGCACTGAGAATATGGAAATTGTTCTCCCAACAAATATTAAGCATCAGATGCCAATGGATGATACCAAGTAACTTCTTTCATCTCTAACACTTCTCTCAAAAGCTTAAGTCATGACATCTTCTTGACTGTTTTAACAGGAAGAAAATGTTCTAGATAGATGATACCAAGTAATTTTGTTCATCTCTTGTGCTTCTCTCAATTATTTTATGGTCCTATAGAGAAAGCTTTGACTGAAGTGTATAAAATTGTGCTGCCTAAACTAATTCTTTGAACTAAGTGGGCAGTAGTTAGGAGAAGTGCGCAAGTGGTGAGAAGAGGCATTTTGGAATTTCTTCCATAGTTTAAACAATGAAAATAGCTGAGATTATGAGGGCACTAGCTACTTTAAGACTGTTTCAATTGGTAGAAAATCTTCCTGGCCTCCTTCCAGTTCTTCTGCCCATTATGTGGAATCTCAGTAATGAAGCTTCCATTGCCTGTAATTTAACATCTTATGTTTCTGATATCCAAGACAATGGCTGTAACGACCTGACTGCTGTGGAAACCTTGTTGCTAAAGAATTGAAGTATGAACATTTTCAGGAAACAAGTATTTACAACCCTGTTTAGGTATAAAATGCAGACAGAACAGCTCAACCGTTTTTTGAACTTTGACTGGTTAATACACATGCGAAAGACCAGTTAAATTCATAATCAAAATCACCTCATGGAATCAATACAGAAGAAAATTTTTTTTATGTCAGTAGAGAAGAAAAATTACAAGAACGCTGAATAAGAAAGTTAGGGTCCTCTACCCAGTCTGCCAATTATAGCATTTCTGGACATCTCTAATACACTGCTACTATCCAAGAAGAAAAGGCAAGTGGTGTTATTATGAAGTCCTAGTTTATCACTCGTGCTCAACCGGTGTAAACAGCCTGGTGCAAGGCATATTTCAAAATTTCAGCTTGAAATAACGTAGCTTCTTCTTCCTTTTTGAACCCATATTCATTTGTTGGATACATTAGGTTTGTCATGCCTTTTCGAGTAGCATAAAATCTTAGGTTATAAAAATATGAGATACTTTAGAATTATCTAGTTTCTTTTTTATGTCCATTTATGTCCCAACTGACAGTTGTCGATTGAAGCCTGATAGCAAATGTCTAGAAAAATTTTAAATCTGTATTGAACAAGCTGTACTGATGCAGCAAAGCCACATGTACTTGCAGGAATCATGAAAGCTGTCCTGACTTAGTAGAGGATGGATACCAATCTTATAAAGAATTCAAAAAGAAGAAACAGCTGAAGATCAAAGCCAAACAAAACGGCAATGATTTGTGTTCCACTTCTAAAGCGAGGACCATCTCAAATGAAATAATTATAGAGGATCTGGCAGCAGGTGAATCTGGCGGGAAAGTAGCTGCTCCGGGAAGAAAGGTACAATGACAAGTTGTCAATCGGAAAATGGCATAATGGTTAATAGTTATATGCAATTCTGATATATTAACTGATACTTCTGCTATCACTGATTCATTTATGTCATTGTTTGGTTTAGATCAAAGTATTTTACACTGTCAGGTCGAGGGAGACTGGAAGTTTACTTGAGTCAAATCTTGGGGAAGAAAAGCCCTTCAAGTTCCGCTTGGGTACTAAACTTGCTATGAATCCCTCCATTTCTGTTTCAAATTGACTCATTTATTCATTTTGAAGTACTTTTTATTTCTTTCTATGTTTAGCAGTATTACGCACAACTAAGCCTGGAGGAATGAACAGATCTGCATTTTCCTAGTTTATGTAATCTACCTGCTTACTACTTTACATGCTTTTGGTGTTAAATCAGGTGACAAAAAGGTAATCCAGGGTTGGAATCTCGGCATTAACGGTAAGTGCTGTCAGAGTAAGAAAGATTTCTGTTGAATTGAACTTCTTTTTGTTCTCCATTTATCCGTTTTACATTTTTATGCTTGTAGCTTGATGTATGCTGTTGTAACTATAAGTTATGGCATTACTAGGTATGCGTATTGGAGACAGGAGGAGACTGATCATCCCACCATCAATGGTGTATGTCATCATATGCTGGAGGCCTCCATGTTTATATTGTCTTCCATTTTCATGTTTGCACATTTTAGGCACTTTAATGATCCTTTCTTAATTTCATTTAACTTCTACTGGATGCAGTTATGGTGAAAGAGCTCCAGATGTTTTTCCCTCAGATTCATGGCTGGTGTATGATATTGAATTGGTTTCTGTGCGTTGATTGCTTAAAGTCCAGCAAAATCTAATGAAGCGAGATTCAAGTGTTTTGATGTTAAGTAGCAGCAAAATTTAGAGAAGCAGAACTCAAAAGTGTTTTAAAATATTTCGTAGTGCTTTGAACATAAAGTTCATATGACTATAGGTACAGTAGAGCTGGAACAACAGCTCTTTTTGGTGATTTACTGAAGGCTTGTTTTCTTTTTTGTTTGCCTAGTGTACTTGTGGGAGACTCTTAGCAAGGCTATTACAAGCAACTGCTAATGCATTAGTAAGTCCAAGTGAGTAGTCTGTTCTATTTATTGGCACAACTCATTTCTATATTGCTTTTTCCCTTCTAAAATGCTTTAATAAGATGCATGGCCAAATGTCAAAAAAAAATTAAAAAGTTCTAATTTGATATTTGAGTTGGTTTGGCACTATACTGATATGCAACCATAGATGGAATTAGAGTTGACAACGTGTTTAGGTTTATTGTTTCAAAGAATCCATATCATGCTCTTAGAGATGATAATTTGTCTCAAGTCCTATTAGGCTACTGATGCTCAAAGGAATTTTGGGCGGGATGGATATTCTAATTTTAACATTGGGTTTAAAATGGGACTAATTCCATTTATACCCATCAATTGATGGGAATTTTTGGGAAATATTTGGATACCCATTAGGGCTCGGAAATCTTATAAAAAATTTACCCCCATCAATTGTTGTATAGGTTTTAATGACTCAAGTGAACCATTTTTATTCTTCCAGTTGGGTCCTTCAGTTTTTTCCTTGTAATTATGCTTAAAACCTTTATCTAGTTTCCTGAACTCTTTTGTCCATTAGAAATCAATTTTTTTAAAAAAAATTTTTCCCTTTTTTCGTAAAAATTTTGTCGCTGATCTCAATTTAGAGTGCTTTTTGAAAAATGTCAAAAGAAACTTCTTGACGAACCGTAATTCAGGCTACATAAGTCCAAATCAAGTGATTCCAAAACCATCCGAAAGCTAAGACACCAGGCTACATTTCTTAAGAAGACGCCAACAACCAAATCAGAAGTATTCCCAACCAAATTAACCAATTACAGAAGAAATTATCAAGTTCGGGTAGAAACAGGGCAGCAAGGGTATTTCAGTCTTTTCATAAGTTACGCTACTCCGATTGGCCTGAAATTTTGTAGGAATTTCTAAAATATCATTCCACAACTTTCATGTTTTAATCCAAGGCTAATTCGGCGCTCTAACTATGATGAAAAGTGCCGGACAGAAAGGGGGTAATCGAAACCGTAACTTCCGAAATTTTCGTTCAATGCGGAAATTTTCCGCAATTAACCACCACTCACATCCTCTAGCTTCATTTTAGATCATTTCCAACCATCATACATGGCCACACAATAATAATCATATGAAACAGAAAAATCACAAATAAATATAAAACTTCACCAATTTCATCCAAAAATCACAAAATAACCACTAAAATCATCACTTAAGCTCACATTAATCACTAATTAAGCATTATTGAAAAGAGAAAAGGAGTTCCCCCACCACTCACCTTACCAAGTCAAGAAAGAAGCAACTTAACACCTTAAGCTTCCAAACCACTTCACAACCAAGCTTAACTCCACCAAACTAAGAGGTTTTATGGAGTAATTTGAAGATTATTCGGTTTACTTGAGAGATTGGGCAAGATTGAAGACAAGATTGTGGAGAGTTTTCTTTTCTTTTTTTACTTGGAGAGGGGCTGGCCAAGGAGAGGGAGAAAATGGTGAATTTTTGGTGAATTTTGATATTAATTTGGTAAAGGCATGAATAGTGGTCAAAATGGCAAGATTTAATCATATGGTGACACTTGTCACCCCATTAAATGCATGAATATCCTTTTGTTCCCTCTCACTCTAATCCATATGCTATTCTCTAATTATCTCTTAGCACCCGATAATTTAAACCCAGTATCCAAAACTTAATCTAGTTGACCGAATTTTTCCGAACTTTCCGTACTAGCGGTCCCACGTCCGGTATACGCTCTTAATTTCTCAAAAACTAACCGATACTAGAAAAATCACATAAAAACTATATTTACTCATAAAAATTATCTAGAAAATTTTCCTAATAAAGAAAATGCAGAAAACAAGCCATTAAATAGAATAAAATCCTAGAAAATGAGAAAATTACGTGTTCTCACAATAAGCCTAGTTAGGGATAGAACTAGAAGGATCCACGATACCAAGCCACCTCATTCGAATGATGATAAATTCCAAATTCCATTCAAAAGCCTAAGCTACTCCCTAAATTCTTAGACTAAAACTTCCAATGAATACAAGTTTCCTCACTAAATTCAAGGTGAAAGTTCTTATACATGCTAGGGTAATAAGTCAAACCAAAAGAAGTGCAAAAGATGTCTCATTTTTAAGTTCAAAATGGAGTCCAAAATTGTTCAAATGGTTCAACTTTTCTTCCGGAATTTCGGCAAGCAAAATAATGGAAAAAGCAAGGTTTCAAACCCTTGAACTCACCAGATGACCATTTAGATTTTCGAATCTTGACTCACCTCCAACCTAACCTAAAGAGTAAAGTCTTATAGTATTTTGTAAGCAAAAATTGTGCTACAACCTCAAGCACCAAGATCACATTGCACGTAATATACAATCAAATCCCACAGTTTGGCATCCAAAACTTTTAACCCTAGGACACTCTATAAAGTTTTGAAACCTAAGCTCTGATATTAACTGTGACGCCCCCGCTTCTCTCTAAGACGAACCAAAGGGTGTCAGCGGGACGCCTGTCTATCTCTCGCCAGGACTCGGTACAATTCAAATCCAAACTTAAAGATAATACCCGATAATACAAGTCCAAGTAGAGAAAGGTCGCTTCCTTAAATAACTTTCAAATCTTACATCACAAGTTCTCAATAGTAAATAACATTCCCAAAATGTACAGTCATTATAATTCGACTAGTCAATTACATCCCATGATTCTAACCAAAAGCAATCAAGTTGACTTTTCTCCCCAACCTTCAATCCGACCCTATTAAGGAAAACAAAACTAATGGGTGAGCTGACGCCCAGTGAGGTCAAGAAAGGCATGCAAGCGAATAGTTCAAATGACAATAACATTTGTACAATAAAAAAATAACTATTTTCAAGTAATTTACAATTAACAATTAAACACACTTGAGTAGGATATAGGAGCTCTCAGGAGCTAATTCCTATTTACTTTGCCAAAGTTCAATCCAATACTTCCTCGTGATGACATTCCGTCACCCGGTTAGGTAATCAAGTCCGTAGAACTTCAGTTTTCCAATTATGATTCTGAGTCGACATGAGAGGTACCTCCCACACGAACCAATGTGGTACATGCTATCACTCAGGGAATCGATTATACGTTTATGGTTCTGAGTCGACATGAGAAGTACCTCCCATCCGAATTGGTGTGGTACATGCTATCGCTCAGTGGTCGATGAGACATCGCTCCAATCGACTTATACTTTATTTATAGTTTTGAGTCGACATGAGAGGTACCCACCCGAATCGGTGTGGTACATGCTATCGCTCCAAGAACTAATTATAGCACTGAGACGGTATGAGAGGTATCTCTCACCCAAATTGGTGTGGTACATGCTATCCGTCCAGAGCTCACGAGTTAAACATATTCATGTACAATTACCAATTATTGTTTATGGTTCTGAGTCGACATGAGAGGTACCTCCCACCCGATTCGGTGTGCAACATACTATCGTTCAGGGAATCGATTATAGCACTGAGATGGTATGAGAGGTACCTCCCATCTGAATCGGTGTGGTACATGGTTCCGCTCAGAGCTCATGAGTTAAACGTGTTCATGTACAATTACCAATCATATGTATTCAGCTATTAAGTATCACGTAGTTCAAAGAGAGAGGGGACAAAGGCATTCCCACGAGTAAAATATGATTGGTTGATAAGATTTACTTCAATCGACGTCGAGTCAGCACAAATGTAATTTGCAATGGCAACACTTCACTTAATACACATAACAATTCACTTCACACAATTCGAATATCAAATCACATAGCACAATTCAATTGCGGCATCACTTAAGGGAGAACGAGTGCGATAAAGTACACACTCGTCTCAACAATTCCATAATACTCATTTAACAATTAAAGCATTTATCAACCATTCATGCACTTGACACTCACCATGTAAAATAAGGAAGAAATGTCCACTCGAGGGTTCAGGCATCTACCGTGGGATCCTCTTGAAGGTCCTCTTGTGTGCTTGAGCAATCAATGATTAACTATTACGCACTATCTCTTAAAACCCCTAATTATCGAAGAAGATTGTACACTTGTACAATCTAGAAAAATATCATGAAAATGATCCTTAATTACTCGTAAATCGAGACTCAAAAGCGGGGTTTTAGTAATACAAGGAAATCTGATTTTCATCTTTAAAATCAAGTATAAAACGATCCAGCGATATCGAAGGAAAATGGAGAGTTCTAAATATTCAATTTCCCTAAGTTTGGAAATTTCAGATTTGACAAACAATCTTTGAAAAATCGTATCTCACTCTTGGTAGGTCCAAAATTGGAAACTTGGTTCCGTTGGAAATTACTTCCAAAGTACTAAAAGTTTCTAGAAGACACTTTTTCATGATTTCAGATGGAAGACATTCAAATTTTGGCTTAAAGTCGCTGATTTGGGCTATCAAGACAGTTTCGGGGTTGATTTTTGGTCAAGTTTGAAAATTCGGCAAAATTTATAGAATGCGAACTAGCCTCTGAAATTTGAACTCAATTAGAGTTATAATCAAAGTTTAAAACACAACAAGCGGAACAAGAATCGGAGTTTTGAGCACCAAGATATAGCAGCTCAAATTTGCTGAAAATTTCTCACTAAACAAGAATTTCCAGGTTTGAAACGTAAACTTTGGGACTTCAGTTGAGCTTAGAAATAGACTTGGAATGGCACCCAATTTGGTATGAACACACTACCATATGAGGGCCACTCCTCTGTCGAATTTCATGCAAAAATTTGTTCGGAAAGTCAATTAACAAGACCTAAAGTTTCAAGAATTTCCAAGTCAAATCAGCCGTATGCTTCCGTTTTCCTTTTTCTAACATTTGGCCGATAAAGTCATCTCAAATCTGGTCCATTTATGAAGGCAAGGTCTAAGAAACATCCAATATACATTTGGTGGGTGATTGACACCAAAAGTTTCAAAATAACAAGTCCTAATTCGAGCAAAGCCATTCGGCTAGCTAAAATGAGGGTTTTCCATCACTGATACAATTTCGTAACTCGGCCACAACTCACTCAATTCAACTTGGAATTAAGTAT